TCCTGAACAAATGATAGAACCAAGTTTGGTTTAGTGTTAGTGGTCGTACGTGTGTTAAGCGCGGTCGCGCGCGATAAGAATGCCGGATCCCGATTTCGATCCCAAAGCAATCAGACTTCGACCCCGGGATCCGGGAGAGGAGACTGGAATGATATACCTAAGAATCTGCGCACTCTACGTTACACAACTACACTTACACACCTCTACTCTACACTTCCTATGATATTTGCAATGATCGACTTTATGTATATCAACTGCTTTCCTACGCTGCACGTGAAAATCGATGTACCACTTTGCCGACTGAAACGCTGTTTATTAACGGTGCCGCTATCGAACTATAGGTGGACGATCGGATCGCTTGTTACAGCCGCGATTCCACGAGCTACCGCTAGAGGGTACTGCTGAGTTATCTCACCGTTCCACGGATGCCGTCTATGTTACGATTCGTCTATGGCAAGCATTTTAGTCGCGTTAAAAAAAGGACGAAAGCAGTTCAGAACAGTGTTCGGGACACGCACATTTGACACATTAACGAATGCAGTTTGCAAGCTATGTAGTATTATTTTTTTTTTCTTTTTTCTTTTTATTTTTCCTTCGTCGTCAACGCGTTATATATTCATTGAACATCCATCGACTCTGTCGGCAAAGCTATACGGTATTATGCGTTGTCGTATCAAATGGCTTAACGTACGTTGCTTGCTCAACTAGATACTCTGATCGGCGATCGTACTCTGGCACCGAGTCTTCGAACGACCGCGTTCAAGGGTCCAGACGTTGAAATTAACGAAACGAGGATGTTGCTAATCCTTAATCCGCTTCGTTCCTCGTCGTGTCGAGTTAAGGTATTACGCTAGAGTTACATGTCGTTTAAATTAATACCGTTAAATTAATCACTGGCTAAATTATTGAGTCTTCTTCGCAAGTAGCACATGCGATGAACAAACACGAGTTCCAGGTGGATTCTATTCTTAACGTTTCGTATGCATCTCTGACTAGAGGTTCTTGCTTGTTCTCGTCTTGCGTTCCGATGCATAGGCAATGAACCGAATCGGGGGAAATATGCGCGGTGCACTTTTCGTTTTCAGACCTCGTTTTCAGACCTCGTTTTCAGACCTCGCGTCGCTCGAAATACAATGCAAATCCAGAGTCTCGGGGAAATATCCTCGCGTTGAATTCCAAGCGACACCAGCTCGATTCCTATGTTAGATGTCATCGGTACGGCATAATTGATAGACAGAGGATGAATATATCATTGAAGTACCTTCAAGATTTTGGAAATCCGTGTCCCGTGACGAGGTGATCTATAACTACGTATCGATCTTCGCGTTCTCTTTGTACACGATCGTTGAAACCTCGATCCTCGCGAGATCTACGAATACACCTGACATCCTTCCCACGATTCATTTCCTCTCTCTTTTTTTTTCCTTTTTCGATTTTTTCCTTTTTTTTTTTTGTTATGTATAGTTAACGTTATTACTAATGTCGTTATCAGTAGTGATATCGTTACATGATTATTACAACTCGATTGCGTGCGAATATTTCTTTTTTTTTTTTTCTTCTCTCCGCTTCGTCTGTCGTCATTGCGCGAAACGTAGAGTACACGTACTACGCTGAATGAGATAAAGAAACATCGAATGCGTGTAGAATTAAACGATCTCTAATCTCTACGATGAGAGAGTAACTCGTATGGATCCATATATGATTATCGAGTAACGGAATTTCTCGAAATGTTCCACGGCGGTGATATTTACAAAGATTTCCTATAACGCGTCTTCGGCGATGAGTGGTTGGGGGGTGGAAGGACAACTCGAAAAAGCTTTAAGGCCCGTTTACATTTGGGTATCTTTTTTTCCATCATTCACTATAAGTCACAAACTATATGTAGGTAGCTGTCGATTTAGACTGATAGAAACGGTACTCATTTTGTCGAGAAAAAAAAAAGATCTCTTTTGGGTTCGCGACAACGTGCTTCTCGTTAATCTTCGAAAGCACGTATCGCAACGTAGAAGACGCTACGTCTATTGTATCTATTAACCCGATTTTCTCTCTTCTTTTTCCTTTTTTCTTTCCTTTTCTTTCATTCAGTCGAATTCGAAGCTTCAAGGTCAACGATGCAATAAAATATATGAATTTTTTTTTTTATAGCAGTCAAACCAGTTAATACTGTATAAAGTCAGTTTTCTAAGAATTGATTTTATGTTTTCTCGAAGGATACATATAGTATATAATATATATA